ACCTCAATTTAACTTCTGCCTATGGCGTCATTGTATTCAATTTGTTATTATGTACGATAAAATTTTACGAAAAATTATCTAAACATATTCGTGACGGTTATTTTTACATATCACAAAGGTTGAAAACAAACGAAGTGAAATTAATCAATAATGAATTCGTAGACTGAAATTAAGGCTCTGCTAATTCAAAGTTTCCCTAAGATATTACTTTTGCCTTAAACACGCATATTCTGATAGATCTGATCGAGCTGATTTCGAATATCACCTTTTCAGTTCAATTAGGGCGCGTTTTTGCGGAGAAAAATTGAAAATACTGAGAGGTTCTAAAATAGCGAAAAATCGTTCAGTTTCAGAAAAACCTGAGACCCTCACTTTGCAAACCTATCTACGTTTTTGTGTAAAGCGCTACCGCTCTCATTTATACGCCAAACGAATCGCCTTAAAACGAAGAAAAAGTATAGCTTGCTTTTTGAAATTCCTTTTTGTTGCTAAGATATTTGCAAATCATTAAAAATTAGCGAGTTTGACGCAAATCGGCCGAGTGATTTTCTGAATAAGTCAGTCACTTTTCAGCATACAAAGCTGAAAATATGAATTCCGCAGTAAAGATGAGTGTTGAATCTTGAGAAAACACGTTCGGAAAAGTCAGAGTTTCCAAATTGAAAAAATTTCTGAAGTTACAACACAGGTTTTAACTTTAATTCCTCATAGCACCAAAAAGTACAAATTTTATGAGTAAGAAAATTCTCTCTCTAAAGAGCGCACTTTGAGTAGAGCCCTGCATTAGATGGACATGGACAGTTTTTTTAAATCTGCCCATGGACATGGACGGACATGGACAAAAAAAAATTGTCCATGCAGGTCTCTACTGAACATAGAAACAGGAATGAAATTCTCATACGCAAAACGTATTTAAAAAACGCGAACATTTCATGGACAAACTGATGGACATGGACAGAAAAACTCTTTTGTCCATGGAAAAAAGCTGAAAAGATCCCGTAAAAATTGCAGAATGGATCCCGTATACTAAAAATTTCGATAAAAATAGTAGAGTGATCCCGGATTTAGAAAAAAAATATTTTCGACAGAATTGATCCCGGAATAAACTAATTTTTATATTTATTGTGCAGCATTGATCGCGGAAAACTTTTCTCTTTCTGCGAACAAGAGAATTGATCCCGGTTGACATGTGATGCGAATGTAAAGACGGCGTTGGCACATAAACAATAGCAATGTGTAGCGGCCACATCTTTTTTCATACTTTTTTCACTCACATCACTTTTGACTGTTACTATCACTATTAAACAAACTATGGCTCGAAAGACATGGTTATTAGTTTTTACGTGTGTAAATGAAACTGATTTATTAAGTTTTATCAAAACTCAACGTGTCTGCAAAAATCGAACTGAACAATTCATTGGTGGTTTATCAATTACATATAAATGTTTACAGTACTGAAAATATCCGCTATGCGAGTATGAATTGAATATAGTATATAGAAACCAGCGAAGAGCTTTGGGAAAGAGGATCTTATGTGACCACTACACACGTCAACCGGAATCAATTCTCTTGTTCGCAGAAAGAAAAACGTTTTCCGGGATCAATTCTGCACAATAAATATAAAAATTAGTTTATTTCGGGATCAATTCTGTCGAAAATATTCTTTTTCTAGTTTATAGAAAATCGAAATCGAATAAATTTAAATTATTTATAGAAAATCCGCAACGATTCTCCACCTTTATAGAAAATCGAATTTATGGAAATTCAGATCGATTTTCTATAAACCAGAAAATCAACATTTCCTAGACAGCTGGAAATTCGTCAATGAATTTCTATAAACTAGAAATTAATTCAAGATTAAAGTGTACGTCTCAAAAGAGATACTTTTTTTTGCAAACTCATACTCAGTTTTGTATGCCCCCCAATTAGCAGGAAGAATTCAAGAATTAGCATCGAGTTTTTTTCGAGTTTCTGAAATTTCAGAAATTCAGAATTAGCATCAAGTATTCAGAAATAAAAATCAAGCTTTTTCTCAATTCAAGAAATCAAGAATAACCATCAAGGATTTTTCTTAATTCAAAAATACAGAAACTGACCAGACTTTCGAGTTTTTTCAATTGAAAGAATACAGAAAAATCAAAAACTGAAAATGTGATTCTGAATACATGAGTTCAAACCGATTCCATACAAATTCACAGAATTTTGACCTTTCGAATTCAAGAAATTCATAAAAAGTCACATTTTCCACTTTCCAATTTTTGTACTCTTTCAATTGAAAAAACTAAAAGGTGCCTGTCGATTCTCAGTTTATCCTGATGTTTCTTATCCTGGGTTCTTCATCTTTTTTAATCTTGTTTCACGGTTTCAGAACAAGTATATGAACGATACTATTTAAACAGAATTGAGGAAAAATTCACAATAAGACGAGTAAAACCGTATTTCATACTTGCGGTTTCATGCGATTACTGTTCTTTTTTAATGAATTATTCTCTCTGCGTGAGATATAGCCGTGCCATACGTACGAGACATCTTTGAAACGTCTTTTCCTTTAGTTCATATTTGCCAATGGAAAAGCATGAAATGAAAGGTCCACTTCAAACAAACAATACAGTTACTCGTTCATATTGTAAATATAAAGGTGACAAAAACGATAAATAAAGTAAAAAAATACAAACAGTTACAGAAATGACATCACATCATCTGTCATTAGTTAAAGTTGACCAATGGAATCAAAGTAATGTTATACTACTTCTCCTGTTATGTTGTTTCACCCAACAGAACACATTAAAGTCAAGTATTGTAATTTTCGACAGCAGAAATTTATTTTTCTCTAATGTTTGATGATTTAAATGGAATGATAAGGGTGGAATAGACAAAAGAAGAAATGGAAATACAAAGAAGAGATAAATAACTTTTTTTGAAAAGGTAGAAGAGAATAGACTGAACTAAGTTCCATTCTTCCATAAATAAACGAATAAGTGCACCTGGTTGAGTTTCTATCAGTATAAAATTGATTTTATAATCACTTTCGAATACTGCAATTTATCCTCCCTATTTGTATTATACTCAGATTTGCAACGTATCGTACTGTGAATCTAAAGAAGTTTACTTTCTTTATTGTAGATCTTTCAAGAACCATCAAAGTTATGAATGAGTCAGAAAATATTCAGGAACTGAATGAATTAATCAAACAAGTTTTTAATCAGTTTCTATTGCATACTAGTTGTACAACAACAGAGAGCTTACCTCGTGAATGTTTAGAAAGATATTTTCAATTATTAAAACAGTGTCTCAATGATAACATTAATTTATCAGTAAAATCAACAATTGAATCAGCAATCGAATCAATTATTCGTCAATATAATCATTCGTCATTGATCACTTATGAATACCAGATACGACTAATACGTTTTTTATGTCGACATACAGCAATATTGAACAATAATTTTAATTCCAACCATCAGTTTCTTCAAGAATTATTTCAGCATGAATTTATTAAAAAATCAAGTATATTACGTTTGTTAACATTGCATATTGCTCTATCGCATGCTGAAAAGTATCCAGTAGAATATGATATTAACTTATTTCGATCTATCGTTCAAATATATTCACCTGATCAAAATGTTTATGTCAAAAATGTTCTTGCACAGTTTCTTAGTATTTTTATACGACAATGTTGTCATGATGTTGGTAAGTAGGATTTTAAAATTGATTCTCATATTATTGATATTTTCTTTTTCAAAATTGTGCGTCTGCCTTGGTTTTGAGTTAAATGTGCCGATTACATTTTGAAATTATTATCATATTTAAAACATTTATACTTAATTTATAGCTTATCATGACAATGCTGCTTTTCGTCATTTATTAAATGAAATTCAAACAACATCATCCGATCCATGTTTAATATTTGAAGTCGTTGTTATTCTGTATGATAAATATGAGTTAGATATCGATAATTCAAATATGTATGAAATGATCATCAATAGTTCTGAGCAAAATTTATATCCAACAATAAGAAATTTTGTGATGAGAACAGCTCATTTAACAACCGAACATTATCTGATATTGTATCTGAATAAAATTCTAATATTGAATATTAACGATTATGTGCATATTCTATTATCCATTGTACAAAAACGTTATGAGAAAAAATGTTTAAACACCAAACTTTATGCGTGTATCAAAGCATTACTTCTCTATATAAGTGAACCAAATATTATGCAAATTGAAGAAGAAGAAGAAGATGTTGAACAATCATCGATCATACGTAAGAGATCAAGATAGATGTAATCTTTTGCTCAACATTAGAGATGAACGGTAACGGTAAAAACGTTTTTACCGTTACCAGCGCTTCGGTAGCAATATCAGATTTTTACCGCGGTAATTTCAAACCTGTAAAAAATGTCAAATGTTTACCGCGGTAAATTTCGGTAAAAAAATTTTTTATCGTTACTGACGGTAAATTACCGAAATTTGTGTGATTAATGTTTTTATTCAAAAGTCAAAATGGAAGTTCGGTAAAAATTATTTTTTTACTGTTACCGGCTTACGGTAAAAACTTCAAAACTTTACCGCGGTAAATTTCGGTAAAAAATCTTTTTTAACCTTTTTCGTGTGTCTCCCCTACTCAACACAAAGTATAACCGCGTGGACAAACGGCTGTTTATAGAAAACTTTTTGAGGAGACTCTAAGATAATACAAACTGCTGTTTTCTGCAGCTAAAATAGTCATCTCACAAAAGATAATGCCCTCAGTTTTTTAAATTAGGAGAATAAGTAGAAATAAGCTATTATACACTCCTTTAGATACCACTAACGATAACAAAAATGATGTTGAGTTCAATGAATTAAGCGAGCATATCTGCTGTTCACTTTTTGATCAACAAATCGAATCTGACAAGCTCTGTACCATTGTTCTTAAAATCTTACAATCGTTTATCACTAACCACATATCGTTTATCTATGAAAATGTATTCTTTTCAAATATATATTATCCAATAATAAATCAAATGTTATCAGAAAATGGAGCAAATATGAATGAACAAAATTTAACATTATTAGTGAACTGTTTACATTTTATCATAAAATTTTCATTTCATGAAATTAACAATAATAATACCATTAATACAAATAATTTATTGAATAAAGTAAGTCAATATTGTTTATTGAGAGACAATAGTTGGTCTGTTTATGATTCTATATTAAAACTAATTTTGGATAATAATTTAAACGAATATATTTATTCAAAAACAAATATTATAAAGATAATGTTAGAAAAATTATTATTTGATAATAATGAACAACATCAACAACAATGGAATGCAAAAGAATGTGCTATTCAATTTTTAATCAAATTTATAGACAAATATAATGAACAGAAAACTGTAAGTATCGTGTATATTTTACTTGTTACCTGTTCATTAATGTTCATATGTTAATTATTGATTTTAATTTGTAGTTTCCATCTTGGTTAACAAATGACTTTGTAAATAATATGGTTCGAAAATTAATCAATGATAATAATGAATATATCCAAGGTAGTTTAATTGATTTTATAACAAAATTACTTGAACATAATTTATTAAATCCAAATGATACATATATAAAAGAAAATTTAATTGAATTAATAAAACATACTTTGGGTGATGTTGTTCGATGTTCATTAGCAAATGCCTGGTATACACTATTAGAGAGAACACATGCAAATGTAGAAAAACATCAAAAAGAGTATTATTTTCAATTCATGAAAAGCAAAAATATAACTGATGAATTAACAGCCTTATTTGATAACATGAAAATAATATCTCACTATTTATCGTTGTTAGTTGGTGATGGTGGACAAGAGACAGAACTAATATGTTGTAAACTAGTTGAATTATTATTGATTTATCATAATAAATACAATAATAAAAAAAATGAAGCAATAATAAATGAAGATGAAATTATAAATGTTTTAAATTATTTTATTAACGATGGTTGTACAAATGAAATTAAACAACGAGCATTAAATCTGAGTAAACAATCATCAGCAGTAATAGAAGAATTTGAAAAATATAAACAAACACATAATATTGATACTGATCAACAAATAAAAAAGATTGATAATTATATTGATGAATTTAAATCAATCTTAAATTGGTTACAAAATCCGTGTGAACACATGGTATTAGATTGTGATTAATAATAAAGTCAGATATTTCTTTAATAAAATAAACATTTTTTTACGAACATTTTTCTATTATGATTCTTGATGTAGTCATGATGGGGTTTGCTCATAGTCTGAAAGACTAGTCAGTTATTATAGCTAGAAAATCTTCATAAACTGTTATACAACTTTTTTTATTTTTCTCTTAATTTTTATTTTTATGTCATCGTGTGTTTCGTTGACACCAATGACAATAAATGTCGTATGTACATTCGTAGTTGTTTCATTACCTGCTACAGTTCTATTTGGCTAATGTCAATTGAATAGAATAGAAATTATATTGGTAATCATTTTCATTTGTGACCACTATTCCTTTCGTTATCGATGTGAACGGTGATGATGAGTTAATTGCTCTACTAGAATATGTTGTTTCGAATACTGGTGTAATAGCCAGAGTTGAACAATAAGTAGAACTCATGATTGGCTCGATTTCTATATCTAAGCTTGCTAAATAAATATCGTTTTTTGAGTTAGAAAACACTTTTGTACCTACTTATTGTCGTAAGATCATCTTCTGTAAGACATCTTTGAATAATCGTTTCCATTTTCTATCCTATTTTTGGATAAAAATGATCAACTACCGATTTAAATATGAAGTTTTGTTGTTATGTATTTATTTAGAGAGGATGATAGAATCTAATTCGTAAATTTTGTAAATGTCTTATCTGATACGGTAAAACGTCTGTGCAAATACTTAGAACAAGTTCGTATAATCTCCCTCAAACCTGTCTCCAAAATTCGATCTGGATCAAACTTCCAGAAAATATTGACTAACATACGGTGCAAAAGTCATGGAAATGATGTGAAAGTCTGTTAAACCGTATTGCCGACTTCTAAACCAATCAAACTTGTTTTTGTTCGAAAGAGCAAAGTCTAAACTACAAGTTTTGTGCCAGACATATTTTTCCAGAACAAATCTGAGAAGGAGGAAAAGTCAAAAACCAAACACCTCTGAAAAAGTCCTTGCAACGTTTTTGCAACTTGAAAAGTTTGTATTTCTCAATTATTTCGAGCTCCATGTATCAAACTTGAACAAAAACTACACCAAAATGTAGTAGGTCAAAAACTCTATCGATATCAACACTGGTAAAAGTTTTAGATCCGTTCTTCACTCTTTAATCAAAAACGTTTTAAACATGAATTTTTTAGTAAAATCGAGTCTTTTGCAGAACTAGCACTTTGCAAGAAAATCAGCCATCATCTTCAGAAATTATGCATGAACTGAATTCTTTTTGCGTTATTTGTTAGAAATATGTTCGATCGTAGAAATTTTGCAAAAAAACTAATTCAAAGAAGATTTTTTATCGGTGCAAAACGGCCAGGTAGTAAGAACGACCAACTTATTTAGTCTCTTTCAGAAAAAGCGATATTTTGGTACAAAAATCAAGAGTAAATTTAACTTCCAATCTACCATTGGAAAGAGCACCCTTTATGCTACAAAAGTCATCATTTAACGTGTTTTCTCATTTCTCTTCTGATAAAAAAACTAATAAAAAAATAGAAAATGATGTTGCTCCATAGCGAAGTTGCAAGGACTTTTTTAGAGGTGTTTGGTTTTTGACTTTTCCTCCTTCTCAGATTTGTTCTGGAAAAATATGTCTGGTACAAAACTTGTAGTTCAGATTTTGCTCTTTCCAACAAAAACAAGTTTGATTGGTTTAGAAGTCGGCAATACGGTTTAACAGACTTTGACATCGTTCCCATGACTTTTGCACCGTATGTTATCCCTAGATGTAACGATGATTTCGTTTTTAATGATACATATATCGTTGTCTACGAGGCATACATCGGTATATTGTGCATATTCTAGAATTTTCACTAAAAATTTCATACTTTTTTATCTAAACGTCGTTGAGGAGCGCGTCAAATTGGTACTATTATCATAAAATAATCGTTTTATTTTATCAAGATCTAGATAATCGGCTTTTTTCGTTAATAATAAATAGAGAGTTGTACAACTGAGTTCTTGCTTCAGGAACGTAGCCAAGAGTCAGAAAGGTCTCTTACCCACTCCCAGAGTCATCTGGAGGAAGAACTCCAGGAATAAAAAAGCTTTGTGGAACCAAAAACCTTTTTCTGCTAGTCAGTCTAGGCCTTATCATCAATCATAAATAAATGACTGATGGTACATTAATGTTGAATGTATGATCTGTATTGTCATATATTGATGATTTCAACTGAAATTTGAAGACATTAGTCATTAGACTAAAAATTTTGAGTTTAGCTCAAACGTTAATGATTTAGTTAAATGATTAGAAAAAGTAGTAGATAAGATGATGTTATTGTGAATAAAAAATTGAAGACAAATTTTAATAGAAAGTTAAACTGAAGATTGAGATAGATGAAATATTAATTTCAACTATCCAAATTGCTGTTATATACGTGAATGAAAGTATGATATTTCAAGATTTTATATTATTATGAATCACTCTGTTGAATAGAAGATAATTTGAATTGAAAAATACGTTTATGACATAAAAGAAAAAAGAAACAACTTATGAAGGTTTTTAAAAAATGACTTTTACAATATATCACACGTAAAGCTTTAGTAATCTTATTTTTTATTACATAGTATCAATTTTTTCTACTTGTATTCGAACATTATCCGTTGGATGACCATGAGTTAATACCGGTACATTATGAGCGGTTATAAATCGTGTTTTACCATCGGCCACAATTCGAACACGTAATGCATAGTATGAACTGAACTCAACATCTGTTTCATCATATTCAATAGAAAATTTAATGGGAAATGAACGAGCTTTTTCTTCCAATATCGATTTGGCAATTGTATGAAATTTTCTTAAATGAGAACCATCTTGTGATGCTATATCTAAAGAGAAAACATCAACAATAAGAAGAAAAATTTGAAGTTTCATCACTTGTCATTACCCGTCAATGTCATATCATCGAGATAAATTAATATTTTATGATCATCATGTAGTATTTCGCTATGTTTATCGTAGTCAATTACACCGTGAAGATGTTTCACCATGTTTCACAATATACACGTAGAATTTTATTTTCTAGAACACATAGTAATCGTATGAGATTTTGAAAAATAGAAATAGAATATTAAAGAGCCATTAAATATAAGCATCACCGAAGATGTAAAGTTATATCGTTGAAAATAGATCGAATTTCTACTGTATGATTGATTCTTTAACTGCAAGAATAACAAAACTATTTTCAAAATCCTATGAACACTTAATCGACAACGACGTGAAGTGGTGATCTGGCATGTAATCGATATTCATAAAGGTAAGATGTACTCAAAATTCTTTAAGTGGTTAATTTTATTCAGCTTGATTAACTGAACATTTTTCCTCAGAATGATCATATACCTCTAATGATAAAAAGCTATTTTTTTTTATTTTAACCTTTGGGTCAATTTTCCTCGATTACTATCGGCTATAGTGCGAGATTATACCATATGGGAAAAAATATTTTTCATATTTTAGAAAGTGGTGTGATCAGGTTCCATCGTTCATCGGGTCTTCCTGACGGTGATATAGGATTATAAACAGAAGAAAAGCAAAAATATGGCATCTGCTTAATACTATAGATTTTCTCAACTATTTAAGTAAGCAGAGTTAGTGTGTAGCTATGATGACGATCAACAATATTGGATACGAAAGAGTCTGAGTAACTGAACTAGAAATATCGTTACTAAACCACTATAATCGACGATAATGCTTGAACGATTGAAATGAATGGCAGCAAAATTTGTCATTTTATGGAGAAATGTTTGTTACGTATGTTTGAGCGTATAAGAATGGCTGAGAAGTGAAATAACAAAATAGATGAATATTTTAACAAACTTTTACGAATAATTTAACTGTTGCACCAGTTTTAATACGTAATTACGAAAATTTTAAAATGGTTTGTATTTCTTTTACAACTATTACGTAGATTTATAATCCAAACATTTTTCTACATAACTAAGCGTCGTGGTGCTATTTTTACTCATATTCGACTAATTTCAAATGAAATCAAATTCTGTGAAAAATTGGAATAATCAGGAGTCTTTGACAATACAGTATTTTGTTTTTTTTATTTTTATACACGTCGTCAAACTGATATATCATTAAGATTTCATCGAGGTGGAAAACTTTCTAACAGTATTTTTGTTCTTCTCAAATTTGTGGAATCATTTAGTGATGCACTTAACCACTTAGGAAAAGTAGAATTTTTCTAGAGACAAGTTAGATGATGGAACCAAAAAAAATACAAATTGTTCTGAGATCTATTCGAGTACATCAACGATGGATGGTATAACACTTGTCAGAAATTCTATTGAAAAATATTTTTAACAGTGGAAGATTTTGAAAAATTTGTTCATCAGTAAATTCGATACGTCAGCAACTGTTTCTCAGTTTCAGGTTCCGCTGTACTGTATACCGACACAGAGAGAGAGAGAGAGAGAGGTTATTTTCTAAGTTTTGAGTTTTCATCTGTTTAAACGTAAATTGACTAACTGAAGTGTATGAGGTGGGTAACATGATGATATGAGACAGTGAAAATTACTTTTATTTAATTTAGGTTATGCAATGTATTATGAAACTGTATTTAATGTTTAAAAATCTTTATTGAGTTAGATTACAAGAAATTATACGTACTTATCAATCGGTAAAATAGAACAATGAAAAACACGACGTTTTCTATTCTTATGTTTGAAACAATTGTGGAAGTAATAGAATGTTGCACTAGTCTTTATAAAAAGAAAATGAATTCAATGATTGACTCAAAGTTTTTCCTTCTACAAAGTTTTCTTTTTCTGTTTCTTATTCTTTTATTATTTATATATACAAATTGAAACAGACCCTAAAAACTATATTCATTTTAGAAAGTCAAAGAAAAGTCAAAGAAAGATGTAATATAGCTTAAGCACATATATTTATTTTTCACTTCCATGTTCATCTAAAGAAGAAAATCTTTTCTTCCAAATATCGATTTAGAAATTCCAAATTCAAAGAATTTAATAAAAACTTTCGGAACACTATGTCTAATTTTATGACATTATCTATCGGTATGGACAAAGAGAAGCTTATTAAATTGACATTTGTCACTCTCTATATATTTTAAGTGTAATACTTTTAAAAGAAAGAAAGTGAAAGGAAAGGATTTTGTGCTTTTGAGACAAAACTTTCATCTTTTTTTTTTTCAATCATCACCGTCAACTGTCGATGTGTGATACTCTGTTTCAAACCTCGTCGAACGAGATTGTTTATTTAACATGTGTAAGACTCGAGATTAAAAATAAAAAAAATTGTTTTTCGGAAAACGAGAGCGTTTATATAGTTTTAAATAATTCTATTACCCGAGATCAAAAACTTGTTATTTTAGAGATCTATTCAATTCACATTCAAGAAATAATTGATAGAAATTAAAAATTTAGTTTTTTGTTTGTGTTTTCTAATATTACTAAATAGAGCAGGAAATGTCAAAAATATTGTACGTATTTTTATAAATTAGTGTATGTATGTTGTTCAGTCATAGAAAAACAGGAAAAACTTTTAACAAAACATAGGAGAAAAAAAAATGTTAAATAATTAACAGAACTATATTTTACAAAAGAAAATCGATTGAAAAATATTGAAATAAGTTGTTATGGATTTTATTTCTTCAAGCAATTACTGTTTAGAACACTGATTCATGATATCAAGTTGTCATTAAAGATTAATTTGATTTGTTTAAAGAGAAAGATTCTAGATGATAATAGTTCTCGAAGATTAAACTAAATAGTCGATTATCATACACATGTCTATAACACCTTGCACAGTTATTTTAATAATAGCAACAAATAATATTAATATTCCTGTTTTCTCTATTTTGACATTTTTAAGTCGTCTTTAATTGACAGTTTTGTGTTTGTTACCATTTTTATGCATGTGAATAAAGTCTTCTATAACTAGTATAATAAGCTTAACGAAGTTACTTGTTGTTTATGAACGAAAAAAAACGCAGTTACAATTTAATACAAACGTTATTCATCTTTGCGTATATTTTTTGAATGAATTACTTGTCAACAGCCATTTATGAACAGAAAATTTGTGCAAAGAGTGCGTATAAGCAACGAATCACATAGTAACGGTTTCACGTTATCAATTGCATGCAACAGTCAAAAATGATTCCTGTGAAAAAGTAGTTGTGTGTAAATTTTAGTCATGTTCAATTTGCCTTTTTATAAAAATACAACATTAATTGTTCTAAGGATCAGATTGGTTCTTCATCTATTATGCTAATTATCTCTTTAGTTTAGCGAATCTAATTAAAACAATGATCACATTGTTCGTTCATGTACTGAATTCAAAATGTTCGTTTCAAACTGTTGTTATCCAATATCATTCAAAAATTCGTGCAAAAATATGATTACTACTAACACAGCAACAAATGACTCATGACATGACTATAATATGACTCATTCGATATATAGTTGTAATTGATCTCTATGAGGTGTTTTTTTTTTCGTTTGAAACGGTGTCAAAATGCGTGTAAACGACGAAATAACAGAAACGCGTTTCGTATATCGTTTAAACGGCTAAAAAACACGTTTTAAGAATCCACTGAACGCGTTTCTATTATTTCATCGTTTATACGCGTTTGAATACCGTTTCAAACAAAAAAACAACCTTATGGGTTATTATTTATGCTTGTTGCCTGTTTGTTATACATTCGTCTGTAGGAAGTGCACTTGAGACATTGAGATCTGTGATGATACTAACTGATAGCACATAGAAGAGATGCATAACATTTATTGAAGTAAACATTTCTAAATAGTACTTTTGTTTGTTCTAGATGTATAGTATTATTGTGATTTATTTGAAATGTATTATCATCTCTTTGGTGCCTCTCGTGATCGCAGATATATATTTACATAATCCACGGTATAGTATATCTTCTTCTAACTTGATAATTGTACAATTTATTTTTCTATATATTCTTTTAGAGGAAGTAACAACCGTAACAATGAGCGGTCAAGGGAAAGAACACAAGAGACATTGTAAGTTTTTTCTTTTGGTCTATATTGAATTATTTAAAATAATTTATTAATATTTACAGAAGTTTCAATTCCCAAAATAATGCACGCGGGGGCTATAATGTTGGTGAAAACGGCAGTATGTATTATTATGCCGGTTCAATTTTACCCGTTCAATGGTATGAGATGATCTAATGTCGTTTGTTACAATACTATTACACTTTTGTTTTTTTAAAGGACCAATCAACATTCTTGCAATGATACCAACAGTGATTGCACGTTAATTCTTCAGTATATGTGCAGAGATAATTTACGCGATGGAAGCAGTTCACAGTAGGTCTCTTAAATACGTTGATTTTAGTAGCTGATTGTTTGTTCTTTACAGAATTATTCCAGTAACTACTGATGGTGAAAATGATGCGAGCTATCGTTTACATGAGACATTAGAATCTTATTTAAATTGTAAAACACGAAGTAGAAATAAAAATTTATTTACGGCAGAACAAGTACATCAGACAGCGTTAGAAAGATGAAAATATTAAAAAGAACTCTTATTTTCTAGAGTGTTCAAGGTTCATGTACTTCTACAAGACAAAATCCTGGTAGTACACGTTATGGATTAGAATGTCCAGAAGAACGTGATTATTATCCATATTGGCAACCATCAGACTGGGTGGTAAGAGTGAATGAATGAATAATTCTTTCATCTACTTAAAAAGTACTACTTTATTTATGTTGACAGGACATCGCTGTATTGACCAATAGACAAGATTTATGTTCCTATTATCGTCAAAAGAGTCAAAATGTTCAATCAAGATTTGCATGTACATTAACAAAAGAACAATTATTGCAAATAGCTAACAAGAGTGTTATATTACCAAATACAAAAGAGGAATGCGAAGTAAGTTCTATAGAATATGTATATTGCATCCCATTTTGAATTAATGTTTGAAACTCAACTGTATTAATGCATATAATTGAGAGATAAAAAATTTTATAGTCAAACATAAGTTCCGTTTAAGTACAGCATGAAATTCTTCACTCTAGTCATTTAATGATGCAAGTCTAAATGGGATTACACCACAATGGGTTGAATATAAATCAAACAGTATTTATCCTCCACCTGACTGTTTTACACCGTCTTATACGAGAGAAAATCATCTTGGTGACACATTTGGTTCAGATATGCCTGTTTACAATTGGACACTACCAAATATTAATGCAAAAAAATGTGTATTACGAATAAGGTATTGTTGAATAGATCATTATATCAAACAGTCTTTCTTTATACATAGATCGATGAAATTATTATTATTATTGTTTCTAGATACAATATTTCCACTGGTGATTATGACGGATGGAATGTTGATAAAACTCATAATCAAAATATTGGTATCTTTGATGAGTAAGAATGAATAATTTAAGCAAGCTCAAACTAAAGAAAACGATGGTCTATTTTTGTATTAAAGATTCTTTGCAAATCAAAAAACTGTCCAACAACAACGAGGTTATACATTCAAAAGCAATCCAACCATAAAACTATTTAACAATGTTAGCTTTAATCTGAAACTTGCCATTAATACAGCACAGTATGGACGAGTATTTCAAGATAGGTACTGCATAACAAAAGATATAAACCATAAATCAGTATTATTTATCGTTTTTCTTGTTTTAGGTCATATGTATTTGAAATTCGTCAACGACCAGCTGAATTACAAAATAAAGAAATTTTTAATTTAAATGTACGCGGTAAACGAGGAAATATCGTACAAGTTTATCCAGCAGTCGAATATGACTTTGTACCAAATCATTTAGAAATACCGATTAATTCTTATGTGCATATCCAGTACGTCATGCATGTTTGACTTTTACTTCTTTATGTTATTTAGTTTGTTCGTAATCGAAAAGATGTCTCAGACAATCATTATTGATTATTTAGTGCATTGAAAACTACTAAAAATTCCTTTACTACTGGTGTAACACTAACAATTTGGTTTACAATTTTGGCGTATATTCTAACTGTTTGTTCTACTTAGATGGATAGGTTCAAACACAAATCCGCCTGGAAATGATGGACAGGGCACAGCCGGAACTGATCGAAATAATGTTCTATTGTTGGAAAATAAAGTATGTTTATCGTTTTGTTTTTATAGACTTTCTGAATGTTGTTTAATTCTCACAGACAGTGAATAGTGATTGGAATCCATTTCAATATTTACAAGTAAATGGTTTACTAAGTGCAAATTATCCAAATATGCTTGTAAATTCAACATTGTTTCATTTTTCAAAAAATGATCTTCGTCTACTCGCCGCTTCCGGACAGTGTAAGTATTTGCCTATCTATCGACCATATATGCCAAACTATCGGTTTGTATATCATTCCTTTCTGTGCTTAGCAGATTGTTAGATGCCCGGTACAATCAATATTTTTTGATATGGGTACGATAGACAGACATTTGTTCCAAAAAACTGTAAAATATAAAAAACAACCATAAAAATACGATCAAAAATAGCAAAAATCTTTGAGAAAATTGTTCAAAACAAGAAAGTTCTTAAATTTCTGTTAGGTAATGAGTTGTTGTCATCTTCTCAATTTGACTGTTGTCCATCTTCATCTACTACTATCGTTATCAGCTAATTAAAATAAATGATACTTTGTCGTCTTCTTCTTGCATTCAATTTGGTGTACTACAAAGATCAATACTCAGCCCGCTACTTTTTCTACTTTCATTAATGATTTGCCGGTTATTGCTTCCCTAGTGGTTAGTTACAGTACCTTCACGAATGATCTATTTATAATTATTCTTTTTGCACGATCTAAAAATATTCATACTATTCAGCAAATAGTTCAATACAAAATTAATTTACTCTATAACTGGTGTGTCACAAATTCTGTGTCTCTCAATCCATCATCTGTATCTCTGTTTATTGATAAGGTTCTCCTTCAGCTTGATCAGAATCCAAAACTTCTTGGCGTGATATTGTCTTGTAGTTTGAAATGGTCTGATTAAGTGAACGAGGTTACTATTTCGTGCCGTAAAATCTTAGGTGTTATCAATAAAGTGTTTCGCGACGCATCAATATTTACTCGCTTAATTCTTCATCTAACATGCGTTCCTCCTAATATCGATTATCGTTGTGCCAGATACGATTCTAGTTTTTTAACACATCTCGTATCTCTTGAATCTCTTCAACGTCTTGCAGCACGTATGATAAGTAGAAATCTTAATATTTAATAGATAGTCCTGTTTTTGTAAGTCATTTAGGGCTTCCTAATCTCTACAATCGTCGTCTCTGTTTTAGATTAGAATCTGTCTATTTCATAGACTAACTCGAGTTTATATACTCCTGCTCTAACGTCTCGGTCTGTCGGTGATAATAATGACTCTAAAGCAGAAAATATTCCTTTTACCTCATTTACCACATCCTCGTGACTGAAATTTTCTGGACTTAGAGCTAATAGTGTTGATCAATTCTCTTCCCACTTTTAAACGTTCTTTTCAGGTTTTGATATATCTTGTCTTTTTTTTGCCTTGTTCTTTATTTGTTTATTTAATTTATTTTCTTTTTTTTGTGTTATGTGTATGTCAACGGGCTCATAGATGATAGCGAATGCTGTCATCTATGAGCGAATGCGAATTACTATAGTAGTTTATTTCTGTGTATATGATAATCTGCGAAGATGTGCATTTTTAAGTGCATTTTATCTACTGATTGTATAATTCTTCGTCAATCTAGTGTGTTTGAACCTAGTTAGAATCACATAAATTATAGTTTATGTTGAAACATCAATTTAGAAATTGATTTTTTTAGCCACTGATGCTCAACTGAATAATGCATCAGCTTATTTTGATCTTGGACCAAGACAAGTCCCATCATCTGGTATTTATCATTATTTTTCAACACGAAATAATGCTTTTTCAAATCGTGATCAAAAAGCAAGAATGATTGTTCAACCATTTGATTTCATATATCGATTAATTGATCAAAATGCTGATGAAATTAGACTAAAGTATGTTTCTTATTAATCTCAAAAATGTGAATATTCTAAGTGTGTTCGTGTTTTTTCCCTAGTAATGCTATATTATCGTTTCCAGCCAATAGTTTATCCACATCGACCGTTATCAAACTATCTCATTTAACACGTGAACAAATAAGTGAAATATTAACGAAAAATGGACAAAATATTGTTGTACGTTAGCTATAAATAAATTTTTACCTTTTCTTAGTTAATGTTTCCATTTTAGGCGAAAGAATCTCTGTATGACTCCGGTTATATAATTGAACCATATGATCTTAACTTTGTTCAATATATTAAATTTCAAATTCCTGTCGAACAAATTGATCATTCCGAGAATGTTAACATATTACAATTTGAACCAACCGGTGGTATTTATACGAGTTTAGCAAATAGTCAAACAAAGAATTATTTAAATTTTCAAACGAATCGTGGAGGAGTCTATGTATTTGTTAAACCAAAATCAAATGTATGAATTTTTAATTTTTATTTTGTCTTTTATATATTCTTCTTCTTTATTTTAGCTCGCCTGGATTGCTGCTGTTGTTATTCCAATTGTTTTGGTCATCATAATTATTTTATCAACGATCGCCTTTTTCTATAAAAATCCTAGACAATATCGTAAACTGAAAACACGATGTACAAAGACACAGCGATCATTTAAAATGCGTATATAAATGTTTGCTATGATTATTTTTACACAAAAATGTGTATATAATTAAAATAATTTTACTTTTTTATTTTTGATGTTCTTTTTATTTGTGTATACATATTTCTATTTTATACTCAGTTTTTTTGTTTTTGTTTTTTGAATGACTAAAAGATGTTTATAAGAATACTGTATTTGATATACAATATCAAAATCGCCGTCGAAGTTTAATTACAAACTATTATGCTAATAACAGATTGATAATAAAGTCAACTACATGAACGACTTCAAGACATTTTTACTTCGAATTTGAGAGTAGATAGCCTGTACTTTGACTTAGAAAAAAAACTGAATTTACAAAATTTGTGTTCTCACCACACTTGAAATTCTCAAAATTCTCATACTTTGAAAGTCTCAAAGGCTTCCCTGGTTAGATAACAGTCTGAAATTGTTGCTTTCAACAAATAATAGAGTAGTTTATGGGTAAGAAAATAGAACAACTATAATGCTACTATATACAAAGAGCCAATTCTCATTCTGTATAGCGTACACAAGTCAACTTTCTTGCTTCAGGCTTATCACGATCGCGCTTGAGACTTAAAGTTGCGCTATGATTTGCTATTGCAACTTACGATAAGACAACATTTTTAATTTTAAAAAGTTGTAAACTCATGGGTAGATTCCGCTCAACTCTTATAATCATGCCGCAAGTCTTGAATGGAACTTGTACTTCCGCTGCGGTTTTTTTTCGTGTTTTGGTAAGAGTTTTATTATTATTTTATGATCGTCCTGTCGAGCATAATACATCATATGCCATTCGCAATTGTCATAGCGCGATCATACTGTAGTCAAAAATGCACGGCGTGATCTTATAATATTTCCTATTATCGCGTTCTGCCTTTTCTTCGCGCGACTCGCGTTGTAGCTATTGTTTGCTCGAAGTACTCGATATCTGCTTTATCTGATGCTTGACCGTCTGATGCTGGGAAAATCTACCTGTATCAGAATGATCAGTATACTTTTCAAAAAAAACTTGAGATCCCTGCTTTCAGTTTCTTCGAATTTTCCCTTGACTCATTGGTCAATATTTCTTGTAAGACTCTTGCCTCTTGCTATTTCAGCCAAGATTCTTCAAGTTTCTTTTGATAAATCAGTTAAGACTAGGGGTGGAACAGTTCCAGTTGTCACTGTGCCTACTATCCATTTCAATTTAAAAGACCAGTGGCTATTTTTTCAATAATCCATAAACGACATGAAATGAAGCCATGCTATTTACCATTCGAAAGCCGACACCTGGAAGTGCCTTTCATAAGCAGAAACGTTTTTAAAAAGAATTTCTAAAACCGGTTTTCTAGTAGGTCTTTGCAAAACTGTTTCACAAATCCAAAAATTAAAATAGAAACGTATTGAGCTTTTTATCATAGCTAGATAGTCCAAAGTGTTTTCTACAAAATCGAAAAAATAGCCACTGGTCTTATAATTTGAAATGGATAGTAGGCACAGTGACAACTGGAACTGTTCCACCCCTAGTCTTAACTGATTTATCAAAAGAAACTTGAAGAATCTTGGCTAAAATAGCAAGAGGCAAGAGGCAAGAGTCTTACGAGAAATATTGACCAATGAGTCAAGGGAAAATTCGAAGAAACTGAAAGCTCAAGTTTTTTTTGAAATGTGGGACAAAAAGTTCCGAATAGAGGATAAAAATGGGGAACGGTTATTTGAACGAAATAACATCATCTTAATCTAAAATATCCAATGGGCCTAACTAAAGTGGCGTGTATGAATCGTGGAATCTTTTAGCTCGTCGTTTATTTAGTTTCTTATCTACCCTATTCGGCACATGGTAAATTTCACTTAAAAGTCTTCAAAATTGTGCATAAACTGAATTACCGATGAACTGAAACAAATAAGTCGAGTTCGCACGAGTCATACTACCTTAATTACTTATACCGTTTCCTAAGTATAAGATTAAAATAAAAGAAAAAAGTATACTTACTGATCATTCTGATACAGGTAGATTTTCCCAGCATCAGACGGTCAAGCATCAGATAAAGCAGATATCGAGTACTTCGAGCAAACAAAAGCTACAACGCGAGTCGCGCGAAGAAAAGGTAGAACGCGATAATAGGAAATATTATAAGATCACGCCGTGCATTTGTGACTACAGTATGATCGCTATGACAATTGTACTCGCTTTTCTCCCTAACTATGCAATGTTTTCGATCAGACGATCAGAGTAAATGGATCAAAACAAGTTCTCTCAAAACAGATCTTAAACTGCTGAGCACACATCAGTTTGAGCACCTTTTAAAGATTTTTCCTCAAGAACCAGGTTTTAGGAGACGTTCCAATCAAGTTTTTTAATGGAGTTCGTACTTGACAGAGTGAAAAATTTGCTTTCAAATGCGACGACTTTGCACTCAGTATGATGATTACTGAACTGTTGTTGTTGTTGTTTTCTTGATATAAACTGGCGGCAAGCTTCATTCTTTCTTTGTTTGAGTTGTGAGTATTAGGCTTCTGAATATCTCTCCATTCTATGTGCAGACGAGGAGATTGTTTTTAGGTACCTAGTAACGACCCAACGGCGCATGCCGAAGTTGTAGCGATTCGTCAAGCTTGTTCCGAAACAAACACATATCGTCTTGACGGTTGTGTGATTTATGCGAATATTTTTATCTTAAAATTCCAAGTTGTTAATTTTTTAATGGAAAAATAGTCCGCACATGTGCTTTTTTACTGTTCCAACATTGATAGACCAGCAACGAAGTAAACGTGAAAAGGCACATTTACGACGAATTTACGCCAAATCAAATATACCATTCGAAAGAGCAAAGTCTCAGCTTTCTAATGAAAAACTAATAATTAAGAAACGTATTCTGTAAGGTTCAGGAAATTGAAAATTACGGATGTCATCATGAAATTCAATTAAAACGAGCTGTTTGACTTTTAAACTTGAGCAAAACTCAATTCCAAACATACCATTGGAAAGAGCGTGAAAAACTCCATCAGAAACAACTGTTAAACGAAAAAATAAACCATTCTGTCCGCTCATTCTAATTGATTTGCTAATTGCTCTACTCATTGTCTCTGGATGACATCTATTGTATTTCACATTTTTTACCTTAAGTTTCTTCTCTAGATTTTTTCTGACATAGTAAGATCAAAGTTGACAAAATTCTACACAAAATGAGCTAGCTATTTTTCCAGTTAGATACTTCAAGAACAGCTGAGTTACACATGCTATCTCTATCTGGTCCCAGAAAATGTCGCTTAGTCAGTCGATAATAGAAGAAAAACCATGTTTCATTTTTTCAGGAGAAGTGCTGCAAAAATCTAGAGAAGAAACTTAAGGTAAAAAATGTGAAATACAATAGATGTCATCCAGAGACAATGAGTAGAGCAATTAGCAAATCAATTAGAATGAGCGGACAGA